GGGATGGGGTCCATATAAATGAAGCTATATTAATAAGATGCCATTAAATTAAAAGCCACCTCCTCAGCGTATTAAACAGCCTTTGTAACCTCAGAGTGCATGCAGTGATAGAAAATTGTTGTATTGAAGAGCTTCTCTTGTGCCTGCAGGTGATACTGTCTTGTGTGTCTGTGTCTGGTGAATTTGTTCTCTGAGATCACTACTGGGATAGATAGCCGACAAGTCAAATGAGGATATGCTTCTTCTCTACTTTTCTCTCTCCCTCTAACTCGCAGTCTCAGCAGATAATTGACATATTATCCGCCAGTGACCTTGTGTCACAGGCGAATCCCGACCAATTAAAATTTGGGTCATTTCCTTGTCAACCCTGTGTGATGGAAATTCATACAGTCCACAAACTAAATAAGCGAGCCACATACTCACACGCATATACATAAGCATGCAAACATCCAAACACACATTTGCACAACCACACACAAAAGATAACTGTATGAAAATAGATGTTCCTCATACATTAAGTCAAGCATGTCAAATACCAGCAAGAGCAGAAAGGCAAGAGCCAATAAAGTGATGTACACCGAGGTCAGCATGTGTGTGATTAACCTTGGAGGACAGTAGAAGGGTATCCAACTAACTTCGCAACCCACTCAATCACAAAGAGACAGAGTGAGAGCGGCTGCAGAGCAGCAGAGAGTGAGAAAGATGGAGCGAGACAGACAAGAGCGACAGAGAGAGAGAAATAGTGACAGAGACGGAGGATGACATAGAGAGACAGATTGAAAGAGGTTAAAGATTCAGATAGATGGTGAGAGAGTGGGGCAAAGAGGGAGTGCTGGGGGAAATTAGAAAGAACACTGGCAGTCTTACAGAGCTAGAGAGAAATCCTCAGTGGGTGTGGGATCGATTAATCACTGCAAAACAAAACGGGGGGAAAGAGATTTGAATAGGAATAGGAAGAAACAAAAATCTACTGACACATTAGATCATACGGAGAGAAGTAAGGAAGATGAAGAATGCAAAACAGGAGAGGAAGGGGAGAAGAAAAAAAGACAGGCAGGCAGGAAAGAAGAACGGAAGGGAAGGAGAGAGAAAATATGGTGGAAATATATTGGATGTTGATGGAATTAAGAAAGGAAGGTGAAACAAAGGAGCAATTAAGGATGGAAAGAAAGGGGGAGAGAATCATAAAAAGTCTGAAACAAAACATAGGGAGGAGAGAAGCAAGAAAGGAAAGGAGGGATAAAGCTAAAGCATCTCAAAAGAGGAGGAAGGAAGCAGAAAAGAACAAAGGTAGGAATTACACTGACTGTTGATCTGATTATCTGAATCAATTCCAAAGCAGTTGTCCAATCTGCGCAGTGAGATAAACATCACTAACATATTCACAAGTCAAGCAGTATACAGCTCAATCAAAAGTACAGTAACCCCAAATAGTAGCAATAATAATACATCAAATATATCAAGAACATCCAAAAATCCCACTTGGTAGATAAATAAAATGAATCACTGAAACAAAATATATTATATAACAACAGTAAAATGTATAATACCAGATCATCTCCACACAAATGCATCATATTTTTCTGTTTATGTACTGTACACTAACATAAATCTATATGGTTGAGACCTTTATGAGACTATTGTCTCTATAATTCACATGATGCTTTAGCTGGAATTAAACCATTGCCCATTTGAATATATTTGAGGTTTGGAGTCATTATGCAAGCTCTTGTCATCAACACTGTCTAGTCATTTACCTGTAATATGCAGATAATGCACAAAAACCATATAGCTCCATGATTTAAGAAAACATGTATGAGCTGCTAGAATGCAGCCTATCTACACATGGACTCAGTCTCCATAACAAGAACACTGTCACCACTAGCAGAGAAGGTGTGATTGAAAAAAGAAGCATCAGTGATTTTCAGTCTTGGCAGCCCTGTGTATTTATGTGGCACTGCTGGACCACAAAAGATGCATGAAGAAATAAAAGATTTTTATGAGGAAACATCGTTGGAAAACTGTCATTGTGTCTGATCTACGGCCTCTCACACAATATATTCAGTACAATGCCAACCTGTTGCCATTGTACTGAATCATCAGCAAAAGACAAATTAGCATTTAAATGAGGCAAGTTATTTTCCTGGTATGCCCGCCCTAAATTACTAATGCAATAGGTATGATAGAGATGAGAGGAGGGAGACTTTTTTAGTTATTGACCCAGAAAAGGTTGAGTGAGCATGTTTGCTCTACTTCAGCAACACCCCTGCGTCAAAAGCCTTTTTCAGAGATGCACTGCAACCCTGAAATTATCTAGACATTACCTTGAGGAGCTGTATGTGTGAATGCACATACAGCTGAGTTAGGTGGCTGCCACCTCCCTAGTACAATAACCACATAATGTCCGAGTGAGCCCATGTGTGAATAGAGCAGTTTATAGTCCAAGGTATTCACACCAAGCTAGTGGGCATGTTGATGACATTCTGTCATGTGACTGGTGTGACAATGAGATTCGGAAACGTCTGTCATTAAGGGCTAATGCTAAATTAACTACAAAGAAAGCTGGCTGGATTGTGGTTAGGATGGAGAATGAAGTAAACAAACTTCAA